AAACCAGCAGGCTCTTGTAATCATCGACTACAATCCTTGGCAAGGCCGCCTGAAGCCTTGCAGAAATCGCGCAGACCGCCAAGGTTTGGTCTAGCGCACGTCGTGTCAGGGGCTTCCCTGATGTGCTCGGCGCCTTGCGTGCGTGCGCACGATTTGGAACCCTGAGCAAGGATCACGTGATTGTCGTGAGGCGGGAAGCTTCACACAGCCTCATCATGCAACATGTAAGCACCTATCTACTCATGACTCTGACTGTGTACCGTACCATACCTGGATTCATGAGTCGTGATTCTTGATTATGCGCATGCCCCGTTCGAGAACGTTGAATGCCTACCGGTACGCTGTCCACGGGTCGCAGGTGCTCTGAGCTACGCCCCACTCACGCTTGTGACTCATCTTGACTTGTGTTCATGATGGCACGCAAAAGACCAAAATGCAGTGATAGACGGCATCCTCACTCCTGTTCATACAGAGCTGATGCGCATACACAAGCTGTCCGGCATCTGCCTCACGATTGTCCGTCCGCCCTTTCCTCCCTTCTTTGCTTCTGGCTCCAGCGCGAAACGGATCAATCGCAGCCTTGAAGCCGAGCACATCCACTCAGCGGCTCCAGAATAGTCATGTCTGCCGCATCAGGTAGCGCAGTGCGCCTGCTGACCACCACCTCGCGCATTCTCCCACCCGTCCCCGCACTCGGAGAAGCCCATTCAGCTTCCGCTCGAGCCCTTCTCAGACCTCGACTGATAGAAGTGCTCCAATCTCAGGGATTAGAGCTGGACGAAGCCATTGGCGAAGGGTTTTGGTCAGGACCTCGAGGTCAAGAACATGCAGAGCGTCATGACGATGAAGAACTCATGGCTTGGCACCTGGTGGGCGAAGTGAGTTTAGTTGATCGTCAGCTTTGCAATACCATGCCACCTTCCTTGAACGTTGCACTGCACCTCCAATGCCGCCTTGAATACCTTGATTTGCTCAACCTGATCTTCATGCCGTTTGCTACTCGCAGGTCTGCGCAAATGGTGATCTGGATCGACTGGTGCGATTGAAAGCGTGCGACAGAGCCTACTTGGAATGGGCCAAGCCCATCCGCACAAAATGGGGCGGTCTAGAGAATTACATTCGAGTCGTTCGTCTAGGCTGGCCCAACCCTGAAGCTCCCTTGCCCGCATACCTTTCAAAGACGACCGGTAATGATGAGGGCGCTGGAGCAAGTCAGGCGCAGGTGGTTCTGCAGCAGGATTACTTTCTCGACACGGACGATGAGACGTTGGTCAGACGAGTACCCAACGATTGGCCCTACGCCATACCTGAAGATTGCGAGCATTGGGTAGTGTGGTGAGTGTAGACGCAACGAGGAGCCTTGCAATGCTGCTCAAGAGCACCGCATGTCGGCGATGCTAAATGTAAGTGCGCTGTTTGGACTACAGGTCTCGGAAGGAAATCTACACGCGGTCGCTCTTCTTTGCCCCCAATCCGCCTTGGCAGCAAGACGAATCCTTCAAGGGCCAGCTATGGTCCGCCATCGTCAAAGATGGTATTCGAGGGCACACAGGCTCTTCGTCCAATTCGAATTCGACAAAGTACACGGGCTGGCGAACACTCGAGCATCTGCAAGAAAGCTTGGCCCTCACGGCTACACCAGCTGAAATCCGCGAGCTAGCAGAGTCGGCGCAGAGCTGGACGGGCAGGGAAGTGTCCAAGTACGTCAAGAGGACGTGGGATGAGGAGCAGTGGGAGACAAACTGGTTTTGCAATCCGCCTCATTTGAGAACAGTACCAGGTGTGTAGTCTCAAGTAAAAGGCTGTATGAGCGTCCCCATTGGCACAAGTGTCACCGGCTGACCAACACTCCATTTCATGGCTTTTACCCGCAGGCCTCAGTCACTTTCAGTGAGTGTGTGTCTTGTCAAGACTGCTGGTGCATGCGCTCATGACATTTTTTCACAGTGTCATTTCCAGAAGGAAGGTCGTCGCTAGCTGAAGCACATGGCGCCCGATAGAACACGAGAAGTAAGCGCATCTCGCGTGAGACGAAGTTCACGCGACCCGATACACAGCGGATTGCATGGATTGCTATTGTACAGACGATATGTGATTAACGCAAGGCTATGTGAGAACGTAGTCTCCGCTAGCGAAAATATCTACGAGGCAGAGTGGTCCTCTTCAAAAGTAGTAGAATCTCCGATGTCCTCTCTATCATTTCTCCTCTCCTGTCTGATTTCCTGCTTGACGCTATGAATGGTAACTTCAATTTCCGGGGGCAACACCTCTTCCAGATCCTCCACGAGCACATCTGGATTGGCTCGAACAGGAGTAGCCTGACAAATAGTGTGGCCCGAAGAGTCTACCGAGTCCAATCTGCCCTCCGCATGTCCTGGCTCGTTCTGCTGCGGCAAGTCCGCATCGAACGGTTCTAGGCCTACCAATCCTCGTAGGACCGCTAGAGCGCCGACTTTCGAAGTGACGACGTTGGCATGGGCGCATCCTTGCCAGGTGATGCATTGCGGGCAGCCCTGCAGACACTCGCACGATTCGATCACCGCTGTCCATTTATCGTTCGAAGCCAGTTAGCAAGCGAGCAACGTCTATGTGTGTATGCGAAGCCTTACGCATGCCCGAAACTCACAGATCGCGATACGTATCAGTCCGTCAAGATGCTCAAACGCCTTAGCACATACGCCACTATTCTGGCCGGGCGTGTCGTAGAAGATGAGCCTGGCAGGTCTCTTGCGCGTCGTAGCTTTGCGCGCATATTCTCTTTCCGCCACTTTGCACTCCGTCCTGACGTCGCCGGCCATCGTGACAACAAACATCGGCGTTAGACTGAACGAAAAAGCAAGCGTAAGGAGTCGCGTCAGTTTCAAAGGCCATTGCGAGCCGATGAGGGGAGCGACACATACCTCAAGATCGCATGCTCTGCAGCGTGTATTGCAGCCGCGGCGTTGATGGTCTTGCTGACGAGCGCATTGATGAGCCAAAGCGGCACATCGATCCAGGTCCCCTTGGTGTCCCTCTTGAAGGGAGGGCAGTCCACATCCACCGTGTCTAAAATATTAGCTCTTCTATCCACCTTGAAGTACCCCCAGACTCGAGTTTCTATACGAACGTGGCCATAGTAAGCTCTGCTGGTAGTTCCCCGGAGCGATCGAATACGATGCGTCTCGACCGCGTCGGTATCCGTATGGTCCCTTGGGCGTGTGTGGTAGTTGACGTTGGCCTGCACCATCCTAGCCACACGCGTGTCGTGGCTGATCTCCCTGCACAAGAAGCTGCGTCCTTGATGCATGAACACAGCGCCTTCGAACGCTTCAAAGATTGCTCTGTCCGTTTCCACTTCTTCCATCACTCTAGCACCTCCCGTTCGTCCGGGTGTATCGTCGACGTACACGTACGTCTCTTGTCTCGCACCTCGAATGGCGATCTCTCGAGCTGGGAAGGGTCTGAGCTCATAGCGCGGTAGGAAGAATCCTCCGCCGTCTGGATCGGGCTCCAATCTGTTGTTGCATAATGCAGTGATGTCCCCACCGAAGAAAATCGCATCATCGTGAGGATGGATGGGCAACTCTGCAGCTGCGCATTGAAGATGACCCTCCCTAACAAAGTCATTACCTAGATCCACGGTGAGAGCCGCGTCGGGTTGGTTGAAAACTTCATCTGGGTTACGCATATAGTGTTGGTCCAATGGGAATGGATCTCCAACCAGCACAGCCAGGCTGTCTTTCTGTCGCCGACCAGCTCGTCCAGCTTGCTGCCTAAGACTCGAGATTGAGTACGGAAAGCCAAGCATGATGACCGCATCCAAGGAACCGATATCTATACCGAGCTCCAAGGCGCTAGTAGCAACGATGCCCAGCAGTTGACCTTTGAACATGTCCACTTCGATTTTCCTCCTATCTTCTGGCGAGTATCCAGATCTGTATGACATGACTCGTTTGGCCACATCTCCTCTTCCTTCCAAAAGCAAGTCATTCCTGATTTGGTTCATGACAATCTCGCAGGTTCTTCTGACCTTTGTAAAGATGATCGTCCTCACGCCTCTTTCGACGAGGTGTCTAAAGATATGTGAAACCTCGGCATAGGCACTCACTCTACCTTGTTGAGGATCAGCATCGTCTATCAGGGGTGGGTTCCAGATCAACCATTCTTTAGCTCCAGAAGGCGATCCGTCCTCAGTTATGACGGCCACATCTTCTATCCCAAATAGGGTCTGCATGTGTTCGGCCGGATTGGCAACTGTGGCGCTGCAGCTGATGAATTGGATGTTTCTGTTGCCCAACGCTGCACAGATTCTTCGAAGGCGTCGCATGATAAAGCTGACATGAGCGCCAAACAGCCCATTATAGCAGTGCAGCTCATCCACCACCACGAATCGCAGATTCTGTAAGAACCGACGCCACTGAGCTTCGTTTGGCAAGATGCTCTGGTGCAACATATCGGGGTTGGTAAAGATTACGCTGGCACGATTTCTTATCTCTGCTCTTTGCGTCCTTTCCGTGTCCCCGTCGTATGTGGTCACGAAGATGTCTGTGAGAAGCTCATGCTGAAAGAGCAACTCTTGAAGAGTACGACGCTGGTCTTGCGCAAGGGCCTTCGTCGGGAAGATGTACATTGCGGTGCAGGTACTGTCCTCCTCCAAAGCACGTATGAGAGGTATCTGATAAATCAGACTCTTTCCAGAGGAAGTACTGGTCGACACGATGACGTTGCGGCCGTCATCTAGCGCGTTCAAGGCCTCAGCTTGATGCAAATAGAAGTCCTCAATCTTCCTCGTAGCATAGAGTGCGTCGACCAGCTCTTGAGAGAGAGCAAAGGTCAGGCCCTCGTGCCGTGGCTCCCTCTTTTCCATGATCCTGTGCCCGCCAGGCACAATCTGATCTTTCCACCATTTTTGGCCCTTCATTTCGTCGATCACTTCGGTGATGGGTGGTCTCTCTTCGGGATGGGTCATGAGGTGTTCAAGACGCAAGCGCCGTTTTCTCGGTGTCTCGCCCAAGGGATCGCTCAACTTGCCGTTAGGATCCACAGGCACATGCTCGGCAGCAGCGGCAATGAGTAGCTGCACGGGGTCTTCGTTCTACAGAAGCAACAACGTTCAGATCAGCGAGCAGATACCCTTGCTCATGCGTCAACAAGACACTTACTTTCGCCATGCAAGCGTGAAGCAATTCCAAGACGGCTTGCTCAAACTTGAAGTTACGCTTGTCGATCAGCTTCTTCATTCCTTTGGCCGCCTTGACAGGATCAATGTCTGGCAGACGCCTGGCAAAGATCGCCCGGAGATGATAGGCGTCAGCCCCGCAAGATGAAGGCTCGAAACAGTGCCTACCTACCTCGGATTTCCTCTCATGGGCTCATTGCTTCTCGCCGCTCTCTGCCTGGCAAAACGAGCGCCTCTGCCAGTAGCTTTGTGACCATTCAAAAGCGTTCCATCATTGAACTCAAACATGAGGACATACTGATCCTCCTCTTCTCTGCTATTCTTCGGCCTTCCGCTCGCGTTCTGCGTTGGTGGTTGCTCCAGTTCAATAGCTGGCAAGAGGCCTTCAAGCGAGGCGTCATTTGCGAGTTGACTGGTACTCGCTTGCAGCTCTCGGGCTTCCGCTTCTATGTCCCTGGCTGTATCTGCATACGTCTTGTCTATATCTGCTCTTTCTGCCGCCTTGCCCTTGAGCGAGGTCGAAGCTGTCAATTCTTGATGTAGAAGCAAGGCGTCCGTATCGACGTACGCCAACGAGATAAGGTCGGGACACAAAGACTTCAGCTGAGCCAAGTCGAAAATTTCCAGATTCCTCTTGAGCAGCGCTTCCACGCTGGATCTGAGAGTGTTGTAAGTGGTGGACAGATGTTTGCGAGATTGACAAAAAGCGTAAACTGTATTGAGAGCCTTGAAAACCAGCTCGAGATTGAGAAAATGCTCTGGCCATTCAAAGTCTCGCACACGGACCTCATCGTCTCCGTCTGCAGCCTCTTCGTGATCGAGGGTGGTGCTAGCTTGACGTTCCTCTGCCTGTACACCTTGTGCAGTATCTTGTCTGATGATCCCTCCGCCACCCGTTTGAAAGGTGGTCGCTGGTGGTACATTCGTTTCCGATGCTGACACTGGTCCCTGTCCCCGTCTCTGGCGCTTTCGTTTAGGAGTACGTGGAACATCGCTAGAAGCGTCTTCTGTAGGAGCTCCTTCGGCATCCGGATCAGGCTTTACGCCTGACCCATTCTGCAGAGAATGGGTAGCAGATGCGGTACGATGTTGAGCAACTCCAGGTTCCGCCTTGACACGGGGTGTCGAGCTCAGTTCAGCCTCTGGTGGTGCCGCATCGCCGCTCAAAAGGTTCTCTTCCAGCTTGACGGCAGGGCGATGCAACATTCTGAACTGAGCATCAGAGGCCTTGGCGGCAGCTTGAGCTTCTTGCCGCTTTCGCCAGGCTGCCCCGCTCGCTCTGACAGCTTCAGCAGCGCTGCTGGATAAGGCCTGCCGGCGAAGGATGGAGGGATCATCGTCCGGATCGGCCCGTGCGGTTGGCGAAGTTGGAGGCGACACTAGATCTACGGCAGTCTCGAGAGAGTGTCCGGTCGAAGCTGTGCAATGGTTGCCGCTTTGCGTGGATGGCGGTTGCCGCGTAGTGCCTGTGCTTGCGTTCGCTTTTGCGCTCGTTTGACTGGGACGCAACCTTTGAGATCGACCCTTGGCCGTCTCGACGTTGAGTCTTGCGAGCCTCGGCATCTGTGGGATTGGAGTAGGCACAAGCCGAGAGCAGCTCGACGTCACAACGTTCCCTTTCCACACCCTGTCATGCTCGTGGCAAATTTCCAAGGAGCACAGCCTGTGACAATCATAACACTCGACTCGGAAAGGCGTTCACGTTGGAGAGGTGATTAGCGTCACAAGGACACCGCCGGCTGACATCAGCATGCAATCACAATCGCGGCCTCAACTCCACATCGCGCGCGCGCCGTCTTGGCGCAAAAGTTCAGAGCAGTAGGATGGATCGGCCGAACAAGTCCGAGAAAATGAGCTGAGATCACTAACCACAAACCACGTGAATGGTGAATGTGCAACACTCTTGACTAGTCGAGCTAGCATACCACCGGAGTCTCCTCCTTCCCTCTTCGCCACGACACGCAAAGCGGAACTGTTTGGCATGAACATTCCAACCCTCGCATGCATACAGCTATACACCGAGCACTTGCTCGCTATTGCTACATTCGCGCCCCGCCTCGTTAGTAGACCCTTTCGACGCCCTCCCACTAGGCGCAAATTATCGAACAAGATGGTCGATTCAACAGCAGATGAGAGTTCACCTGCAGGTGAGGCTCACCAAGCCGCCCGTTCTGGAGAAGAGGCGACCGAAGTGGTTGGCACAGGTTCCTCATCTCCAGCGCAAGGTCAGAACTCGCAGGACGTCGCGGTCCTGGACCAATCCTCTGTGAATGAGGAAGCAGAGGCAATAGGCATGGCAGCTCAAAGGCCCGAAGGAAGCATGTTGGCGCCAAAATCAGCTGCAGAAATGGGACTGGTGGAAACTGAAGAAAACGGACTGGGCGATGCGGAGCAAGAAGAGATCAACGAATCAAGCAGTGGTTTGACCCAGATTGAACAATCTCAGCCACCTTTACCGGACGAGCCGTTGCCCTCACATGCTCACTCGTGGCAAGCTGGTGAGTTGGACGCGCTCAACAACGGTCAACTGGTTTGCTTAAATCGTGAGTTCTCCGCTGAGCCAAATTTCTTTTCTTTCCGCAGTATGGGCCCCTCGATCCGGGGCGTACTATTTCTGGAACACGGTATCAGGAGAGACTACATGGACAAATCCTCTGGCAGAGTCGGGGTCAGGCGGAGCACAAAGAGCGACCCGCTCGTCCGCGGCCGTTCAAGCCGAGGCTCCTTCCGCACCCATGAGTGACGAAGACTTAGCCATCTCAGCAGGTATAGATCCCGACTTGGCCTTTCTCGATGCTCAGCTATATGCCTCCCAGCTCGCTTCAGCCCGCACTGCGCATTCGCAAGGTCAACGTCATGGGAGTATCATTGCTACCGCTTCCAACTCTGTTGGGGCCTACTTTGACGCCCGAACTGGTCGAATGGTATCTGCGTCTTCTCCCTCCCAGGCAGACCCGGACGCTTCAACAAGACACTCTTCGAGCGCCAAAGCAAAGAGACAGATGAATGCTTACTTCGATGTGGATTCGTACGAGGCGCAGAGGGCCGCCGAGAGGGCCGAGGCCGCAAGTGCTGCCAGTGCCAGCGCAAGCGGAGGGAGAGCTGCGCAGAAATTGAGCAAAAAGGAATTGCAGTACTTTAAAGACCGTAAAGCTCAAAAGAGGAGGCAGCAATACTTGAGCGGCACCTGAAAGCATACATGCACCTCAGCGGACTCATCCAGACACGGAGATTGCAGAGTGTGGCTATATTGAGCGGTGTATGCTATCAGCGGGAACCACTCGAGAATCCTCATTGTGGTTATCAGCGGCAAGCTGCCAGGCTCTGCTGTGCGCTAAAACCCGGGAGAATGCCTACGCCTGCTTCCTTCGAACAAGAAATGCTCAAGAAAGCTCGCCATACCGCATGGCATTGTAAAGACTACGACATGACATGGTGCACAAGAAGAGCTCAAACAGTCAGGGCCATCTGGTTTTGTTCCGCTGCAGTGCCAGCCGCGTTCGCCGGTGCATGAGCCGCTCCGCTACTTCTGGCCTCGTCGATGGTTGTCAAGATCCTATCGATCGATCCTTGCCAGTTGACCAATTTTTGCTCCAATAATTTCCACTCTTGATCTCCAAACGTTCTGAAAGTGCTCTTATACACTCTGAATGAAGAAGTCACCTGGCTCAACTTGCCCGAGACCAGACCCGCTCGAATGACTGGCGAGACAGGAGTCGACTTTGTTGAGAGACGAATACTGCAAGGAGGCTACACAGCCTCTTTGCTCCAAGGCGCCCAACTCACCATCAATGATCCACGATTCTACATCTGCCTCGGGCTCTCCCAATGCTGCCGCAATATCCGCGTAAGGCACCTCTGCGCTAACGCTACGACTGCACAAGCTCGCCAAATCCAGCAACTTCATTTGCCTCTCCAGCAACGCAGCATTCAGATCTGGTGATGTGTGCAGGAGCGACACGCATCAGCTCGGCCGTCTAAGAGCGAATTCTACACCCTTTCGCAGCACTCACTCAGCTTAGATAGCACAGAATCGTTGCCCTTGCCCAACCACGCTTTAAAGTCCTTTGATGAACCGCTGACAAAGATGCTCAAAAGTTCAAATGCCGGCTGTCCTTTTAACGCTTGAATCGGGCCGATCTGCAGCAAATTGTCAAAATCCCACACGTTCGGCAGTCTGAGAGCTGCAGCGATTGTCTGCTCCGCAGCCTGAGCAACCTGGCCCTTTTCTGCCTCCGAGACGCTGTCCAAGTACCGCAAATGAGTGAGGAGAAATTCGTAGGCTTTGGCTTTTTGATCAGCCGCGTCGAGCTTGGAAGCGATGTCCAAGAGGAGCGCAGATTTTGCAGAGGATGGAATAGACCATGTAGAAAGCCATGCTGGAGTCGCAAGCAGTGATTCGGAGAGATAGTCCAGCTCTTCGTTTGCTGCTGCGAGGTTGAGCAGCGCAGTGAGGGTTGTCAACCGAAGAGGTGAGCTAGCTGAGAGCGAGTTGAATGTGTTGGACAGACTGCTCGAAGAAGATTATGGTGTCAGATTCAAGTCTGCTAGGGTAAGCTGTGGCGCAAGCTGATAATAGGTTCTCGGCGCTGTGCTCCGCCCAGCTCCGGGTGACCACATTGTTCCCATTGCCTAACGACTCACATTCGGTACTTGACAGCGGTCCTCTCTTGCCCCGTCGTCGCAGCAGTGCTCGCAACGACCGAGACCAGATTTTGAATGGCATGGTCCCTCTGCTCCTGAGACGCATACTGCGTGTTAATGAGCGCCACGAGCAAGTTGTACACTCCCTCCAGCTCTGTTTTGTGTAAGAAAATAGGCCATGAGCGCGTGTCTCTCGATCAGTAGTAGCACGCAACCGTGCAGGACCTCCCTACACGTTTGCTGCTCACCTCTATCGTTCCCATCCCCTAGCTTGGTGAATTGCCCCAGCAGCTCCGTCAATACCGCCGAAGTCTTTGCCTGATCCGCACCTCCCTCGCCTCGTTCGGCCTCTTCTGCTTTCCGAACATATTTGGAAATGTATTCATCTCGCTCAGCTTCAGGCTGGCTGCGAGCCAAGAACGTAGCTACATCTGCCACCTGAGAGGTATGATGCAGGAGAAGCGGTCAGTACAGTCATTATCGTCAGTGAGAAGCGCCCAGCGACTGACCTGCTCTGAGAACGCTCCGTCCAGGACTGAGACGAGATCTGCTGACATTCTGACTTGCGCAGCGGGTTGGTAAGAGCTGCAGCTTTCACGTTCGAAGGGTGAGGAATCTTACTTTCCCTCCCAGATGCCGTCAAAATCGTGACCTGGCGACACAGAATCTGTCTGTCGAGTTGTATTTGTTGTCGCTGGCGTGATCAGCGGTAGGGGACAGTGTACCATTGAATCAGCGTCCGAATAACTGGTAAGACAGAGAGCTGTGGAATGCAGCGCAGATGAGATGCTGAAGCTTCAGACTCGCCGCGTGTTGAGGGATTCCTGACTTGACTTTTCTCGGCCGGGAAGCGGCGCATGCATGATCCTGGTCCCGTGTCTGTTCTCAGTCGCAGTCCAAAGGCCTCTCTGGCCGGTTCAGCTCGAGGAGAATCATACATGCACTTGACTGCCAGCGCTTTCGAGACCAAGACGACGCCAGAGCAACCGCAATTCAAGCTGTCCATAGCATCTGCAGACTTGACGCAGCTGGTTCTGATACATCGCAAACAATCACAGTTCTGAATAAGACGAGATGCTGCACTCTAAGCGCCAGTGTCCGAAGCAAAGGGTGCTTTGCGCTGGAAGGTCAGCGCGTCTAAGTTGTGCAGCTGGGTAATTTGCCACGTGGCAGCTCACAATCTCAGGCGCGGACACCGGAATCGAGCTGCATGCCCTGCGCGGCGCGCGCGAATTCTCCCCGCAGCTGTGCGCACGTGTTCGGCCGAGCGCTCAGTGGACTTGTGGACTTCTGGAGAGTTGCGTGTATGGTGCCGTAGTCAATCCCTGGGAGGCTTATTGCTTTCTGGGTATGACAGACGATCACCTCATCACCACTCTCGACAAACATTTGTCCCCTTTTCTCAAGATTGGATCGGTTAGTATCTTGCATTCGACTTTCGCGAGCTCTTTTTTAGAGCAGGTTGGTGCCGAATGCAAATTGGGAAGAGCGGACGCTGGGAGATGGTCGGGGCGTTAAGAAGGGAACGGGGCCAGCGAGAGCGAGATGGCAGCCTCGAGAGTAATCGCACCTGAATCTTGACTTGCAGAAGATCACAGGCTATCCATCAATAGAGCGGGTCATCTGCCAGTCGTCGACACCTGCTCCGACCTAGGCGCCAGTCCGGCACTGTGTGGAGTCGGGCCACTTAGCCTCGGCCGCTGACGAAGCAGGGTGTCGCTGGATGATGACGGCAAGGCAGCGAGGAATTGCAAAGCCAATCAGTCTTGAGCAGTCTTGGGGTGCTGACTAGAAAATCGAAGTCAGTCATTTCCACGCACCTTTGCTGACTCCAAATGACTCTCGCCTTATGACAGTCACAATGGCTTCTCAGGCAACGCCCCGAGCTGGATTTGGCAGGCGCAGCAAGCTGAACCCCTTGCTGAACAAGAAGCCCACCGACGTCAAGCCCAAGCCCAGGAACGCAAAGGCGGCAGCCACCGGCGAGGACAAGCCCACGACTGTCACCAAGCAGCTTAAGAAGGGAGGTTCTCGCACTGTTCCATCCGACAAAGCCAGCCGCTACTATCCCGCCGAGGATGTAGCAGTGCCCAAAAAGAGCCGCAAGGCTCCCAAGCCCGCGGTTCTGCGCAGCAGCATCACTCCTGGAACTGTCCTCATCTTGCTCGCCGGACGCTTCCGCGGAAAGAGGGTCGTCTTCCTCCGACAATTGCCCTCTGGTTTGCTCCTCGTCACTGGACCCTTCAAGGTCAACGGCGTTCCTCTGCGTCGCGTGAACCAGGCATACGTCATTGCGACCAGCACCAAGCTCGAGATTGGCAACCTTTCTGTGAGTGCCCGAAACAAATGGAATGGACTTGGCGAGACGCGAAGGAAGAAAGAGGCAAGCAGAGGCGTAATAGGTTGAGAGTTGAACAGATTTGTAGAAATTTTGGTCGCTTGGGTACAAACTCAGGCTCAGAAAGTTTGAGAGAGGAGCCAATCCGCGGGAGCCTACAGATTGCTGGGGGGTATCGCTGATCGGAACGAACGAGTGCTGACCCAGGAATGATGTTTCTCGCATTCAGCTTGACGAGAGCGTCCTCGATGAGAAGAAGTACTTCAAGAGCGAGAAGAGCTCCGGCGCCAAGCCCGAGGCCTCCTTCTTCACCGACCCCGCAAACAAGCAAAAGATCTCGGAGAGCAAGGTCTCCAACCAAAAGTCAGTGGACAAGGCTATTTTGGCGGCTATCAAATCTCAAGGACCTGCATTGCGCAAGTACCTGTCCTCCACTTTCGGTCTCTCCAACGGAGACCGTCCCCACCTCATGCGCTTCTAAGCGTATGCCTCTGAGCTACACACATGCTCTTTCGCAGAGTGTCACTCGACCGCAACGACGAGTCGCTCTAGCCTGTACGTCCATGTCACTACGACCCACTCATTGCACAATCCAAGCCCATTTCTTTCCCTGCTGTTCAACGTGCATGCGGTAATCTCTGGCAGCGACAGCACTTGAACTTGAATCACGTTGCGCAAGTCGTGTTCAAGCCGCTCATTTCTCAGCTCGCATGAGTGTTGAGCCATTGGCCCCTCTCTTTTGCCTGCACCTGGCCCTTTCCGCTCTGTACCATCCCAAAACATACACAAGCAACGCATGAGATTGGAGAGATGAGGACGAAAAACGATGTAGTCTTGTGGAGATTAGCGCTTGGCAGGACCTCGACGAGGTTTGGGAATTGTAAAGGGACACTTGAGGACTAGGCGCGACTCCTTGATGGCCTTCTCGCCGTTCGAGCTCCGAACAGATGCGGAGGAAGGTGTGCAACCGAGGGACTTGTACACGTCGCCAAGCCTGAACAGCAAGTAGCATCACCATGAGTCATGTGCGCATAGAGCTTATGCGCAAGAAAGAGAGTGACTCACCTCCGGCTCTCGATACCCATGTCCTTGGCGAGCTCCTTGACATCGACCGAAAAGTTGTTGATGTGCAGCGTAATGGCAGCAAAGTAAGCCAAGCATTTGGTCTCCGTGAAGGGTGTGACGTTGTACCTATGCGTGCTCCTCATCTTTTCGGCAAAAGTATCCATCAGGTGGGCAAAGATCATTCTGCCATGCTTGTTCTCGTCCACCTTGAGCTTTTCGAGCAGCTTCTGTCTATCATTCGGTCGCCCAACATTCATCTTTTCGTCGTGCAGCTTCCAGAGCATAGCTGCGTATAAGCAAAGCGTCAAGCGAAGCTTGCCGTCGTCCTTGACTGATCCACCAGTCGAGGTCTTTAGGATGCCAACTGGCGCTGCGACACTGCTTCCATGGTTCACTTGTTGAATCGCTTCCCAAGCTTTGCCGACGAGCCATTTGCTCTTCGCAGGACCGCCTACCGGAAGTCCTTGCTTGACCGCCTCAGGAGACGAAGCGAGCAAAAGATTTGTGATGTCGATAGCCTTGAGTATGCTCGAAGGAACCAAATCTCCAATAGCGTACGCCTCTCTAGGATTCTCTGCGTGCTCGTTGTGCGGAGGTATGGCTTGTGCGGCCTTAGCTGCTGCCTCCACGGCATCTGCGTGAGGGAACCAAGAACGCGAAGCGCGAGACGTCAGACTGGTCAAATGCAATATGTGGCAGACTGATTCGGGCACTCACCAGCGCTGTCCATATGTTTGGAGCTAGTTTCAATGCCCTCCCGCATGGTCGTCATGATATCGGTCATGTTCTCCGTATTGACCTTCATCCGGTCATCATTTCTAGCTTTGAGTTTCGTCTTCCTGTTACCGAAAGCTTCGCCCAAATCTCTTCTCGCTAACATGCGAGCCGCGTAGTCCTGCGCACCGTCTCCATCCAGCACAGAAGAGATGGCTAGAGACTGTTCGGCTAGTGCCTTGATCCTTCGCCGAACTACGAAAGCTGGTGCTACGCGCAGAGTCACCGTGGAAGTTGCAGGATCGTAGATGCCAACCAAGAATCTTCAAAAGCGAGTTTTGCGTGAGCAGAGAAATCGCAGGACAGATCTACAGCGCAAAACTCACTCGCCGCTGTAGCCCCTCGCCGATAAGCGATCCTCATCGCTATTCTCTGGAGCGGCAGCAGAGGAGATCCAATTGGTTCCAACATACGACATGGTGTCGGTCTCACCGGTGAGCATCAGTCTGTTGGACAGCGTCGTCCCTGAAGGTGACTTATCATCGGGCGCAGCAGCTGCATACATCGCGAAGCTCGTTGAGGGTGGAGGTTCGTAATCGGAGAACATTGCTATTGTTCGTAGGAGGTCACTTAGTGTTCAGCCTCATCGAACGGCATTCTCTTGTTGAATGATCGACAGCGCCTCTTTGCCTACTTACCTAAGACAGGCCCAAGTTTCCGGCTCGCATCTTTTCCAACATTCACCACGGCGTGATCCGTGGGCACACACTCTCCATTATTCAAGTATCCTGCCTTTCGTATATCTTCATCTGGTACAGCTTGCGATCGGTGTGATGTGTTGGAGCTAGATTTGTCGCTGCGCCTCTCCTTCTTTCTTTCTTCTTTGGCTGAACCTTCGGAATGCTTTCGTTTGCGAGTTTGCTCCTTGGGAAGCTGCGAGGTCGAGGCCATGTCAGGCAGAGCCATCTTGGTCAGCCAAGCCCGTGTGATCGCTGAGAGATGGGACAGGTCGCAAAAGGCAGGCAGCTTGACCAGAATGTAGATTCGCGTGCCTGTGGAAGGTAAACCAGTACCAGTATCGTGAGTGGTGTTGAGACTTGGAAGTCACCACACAGTGAGCTGGTTGTTCGCAATAGCTCTGCAGGCGAATTCACGCTTGACTTACGCAGGTGAGGCGGATTTCAAAATATTTGGCTGTGCGCACTTGCGCTTGTCCGTTCCCGTGCGGAAGAAGTTTGCTGCAGCCAGATTCTTGGTTTCCAGCATCCGCGGGCGCGGTAATGCACCACGCGCCCGCAACTTGACCTATTCATGATTGTGACTAACGTGCACGCGTCTTCGTGTCTTCCAGCCACCGGATCACACCTCTGCCCGTCTTTTACTGATCCAAAAGGACCATCGCACTACCGACCCATCCTCCTTAGACCATAGCTCCAAACCTTGCAGAGCTCTCGTATCTCCTTTCGGCAATGGCTCAGGGATTCAAGGCCAGCAAGCCTAGCGCTTCGACAAGCAAGGCGTCCAGCTCGGGAAGGAAGAGCAAATCTTCGGCAGGTCCAAAGATCGGTCAGAGGGTGGTGCCACCCAAGAAAGCCAAGGCAGTCAAGCAGGCAAACAACCTGAGAGTGAGTGACTGTGGGAAAGGCTATATGCAGGATGTCTAAGCGAGGCATTGAGGCCTGCAGCATTCGTTGCTGGGTGCGACGGAGCGGTGTCTGTCATTCTCGTCGACTACACTACTTGTATGCGCACTAGCAGCTAACCACCTCCCCCTCCCCCCCGGCACTGTCTCCAGAAACAACAAGCGTCCATCACAACGCGTATTGAAGGCGAAATGGCGGGCAGAGCTTCCAACGGTCCCTTGACCATTATGAAGAGCGCCGCGGATGGTGCGGCGGCCGAGAAGGCTGCTCAACAAAAGAAGAAGGGCAAGTGAGCTGTGAGGAAACATGCAGTCTCCACGCTCTGCTCAATCACTATGCAGAGCCATCACGAGTTTTATCGGGGGGCACACATTCTGAGGAACGCTCGCCATCACACCTCGAGACGGCGAGGGCTCGCCGAAAAGTCTCTCATCTACGCAGAGCATCATGCGGACTTGGTCGTCTTGATCATAACGTGTCTCGACCGTCGAAGCTTACCCGACATCGCAGCATCAGTCACTTCCCCCCTTAGATGCCCTATCGGTTGAGGTGACTATAGTGGAAGCAGTGGCAGTGTGCCCGGGAATGCACCCCATGTTCCATGTTGTATTGGCAGCACCATTAGCTACGAAGATGTCCTTCTTATACGCTGCACGTACGTCCACAGCCCGTGAAGATGGGGGCCACTCAAAGCGATGACGCCCTCGAAGCGACTCTTTCATGAGTGAGGCAGGTATGCGTACGGCAAAGGAAGATTCATGCGGTGTCTCTTTGCTTCTTGCCACGCTGATTGCTCTCTGCGCCTTCTCGCACATTTCACGCTGCTCTTCACGGTCGATTGATCAAATTTGAGCAGCGCTTGCGAGACTAGATTCTTGAGTCTTGAGCATCAATGAGGTCGTCGTGTCCTTGCTTAAGAGGGGATGAGGTCGAGATCACGTGCGGATGACTGGCAACGGCATGAACTTGCTGCACATGCATCACGGTCACGAATTCAAAATTTAGCTCACTCGTGGTGGTACGTACTCGTGACTGATGGAGATGGGGCCTGCACATCCGCAAAAGATGGACAAGACAAGGCGACGCGCTTCTACACTCGTGACTCCTGACTCCACACTTTGAGCACCACCGTCACCGCTCCACCAGCTCTGATACGCGTCATCTAGACGAGATGCCTGGCAGACCATGGTCTGCTACTGGTGATACACCACAAAGGTCCTTGGCGTGCTGCGCACCATGCATGTCCTTGGCGTGCTGCGCACCACAAAATATCCTTGACGTACTGCACACCACAAATGCCTTTGGTGTGCCGCGCACCACAAATGTCCTGGGCATGCTGTGCACCACAGATGTCTCTGGCTTGTGAGACAGTCTGGATGGATCTTGACATCATGAGCATAGCAAGTCAAATCCCAGAGTTTAAGCTGATGGTAATGTAGATCTGATTTTTTTGAGTTGATGAAGGTATAACAGTGGTGGTGATGGAGAAGCCACTGAGCCACACTTGTGTTTTATTGCGTAACTGCGCAAGCAGAAAATAGCGCGCTGAGCAAGAATGTTCTGGAATTCTGGGGTAAGCCTATTGGGAGCACGTGATGAGGGGTATGATTTCGTTCATATATAGTAGATCATCGCAGAGGCGCGTTCATCACTGCTGAGCTCGTGATTATATATATCACTCGATCACACTGCCGCTGAAATTATCCTCGTCAACCTTTATTTCCGCAAAGGTTCGGTCGGAGGTCGCCTTCGCGTCGGATGTCCGCTCGATCGCTGATGTCTTGATTGACAGATGGACAGATGAAGCGCCTATATATGTACAATCGGATTGTCCACCGCCCGTCCACACGACTTTGACTCTTGACGGCAGCAAGGTAACTTTTCCTGACTACTATTCCGGTCGACAATCGGACCATTTTGTGCGCCGAGTCACAAATCATGGAATCGTGAATGACGAATCAAGAATCCTTGTTTGACTCTAGCAAGACTCACGAGGCTTTCGAGCTAAAGGCGGCGGCAACCCTCCCGCGGCATCGTGACACATGCGACAAGGACACACGCGTTAGAGTACAACGTACATATTTTGATTATATGCGACCACAGCCACGGCCCACGAACGCAGAAGTCAGCATTTGTAGTAAAGATCTACAACCGGCAAATACGGACTTCACCCAAAGAGGGCATAGGGAGGGTTTGCAAGGTCAGTGACCCACTCTGCACTCGCGGTCACGGACATCAAGGGCGCACACAGCACGATCCACGATTCAAGATGGTCGAGTCTTGTGTGATGGGAACGAGAAGATTCAAGACTTTTGACTTCGACGGGAAATTCGATTTGGTCCTTTGATGAGACCTACCTCGGACTTGATCACACGTACCTAATCGCGCGCGGCAATCCGGCATGCTGGATTGAAGTTCACGCACGGTCGTGGTGACTCACAAGCGTCAAGCTTTTCTGGTCGCCAGCACGTATCTTTCAAAAGTGACTGATGATGACTCGATGCTCGGAGAAATATCGAGCGTCCCTCGATGCCTAATCTCCAGCAGGCTCTCAGCAGTCTCGGCCGGGTCGGGATCTGGCTGCGTCTTGCTCTCGCTCATTCGACACCTGACGATAATTGAAGCGGATCTGTACGCTATCGTGACTCAACGGCATGCGAAAGGTGATCAGCACACTCGACCTCTGCACATCATTTCAAGTGGTTATATATACATAACGACCCACTCCAACAGACAGAGTACCGGTAAAGTCGTCATTCAAATAATAAGATCTGCTCTGCGTTCATGACCGATTATGAAGCAAATCGATCGAATCGAAGCGCACTCATCATGCAGTCACGAGTCTCTATCATTCAAAAGGTTCATACACAAGGTCCGGCATACAGACCATCTAAGAGAGACTAAAGTCGCAGGGGTGCGCGGTGTGCGAGTCTGAACCGGACACATCACCAAGGCACCGACTGGTGCATGGCAAACATGAAGCAAAAAGCTCCTCGAAGATATGAGGGTCGTCAAGAAGGCTACCTCGCCGCTGCATAAACGCAATCATGGAACACAGACAGCCGCTGCTCTAGGACAGACCGCAAGGCGCCCACTCATGCGTTCTCAGGCTGCTTATTTGCTACTTTATTTCATGTTATCTGGAGGGACGTCTTCAGCGGCCACAGTCTTGAGTGCAAGTTGATTCCCCAATGACTGCTATCTTCGCGCGTGCGCCTCGACCGGCCATCACCACGTTGCTCGTGACAGCAAGGCGCAGAAGCGAAGCGGAGTCTGCATAAAGTCAGCATGTCCGCCACGGAAACAAAGCTGCATAGATGAATTAACACGACTATACGAAAGGGCGCCAGAAACCGCAAGCCACGCAATCATCCATATACAGCTGTAGGCACACATGTAGATGTGCTTTGATTGCTAGTCCAG